CTGTGTAGACTCAAAAATGTTTCTCTTGTTGGAGATAGTTTGCCATATTCAGGTGTAGGATTCACAGCTAGGACTGTTGATTGGTTTTGTTATTTACGTCTAAACATTGGGGCCTTATGAGTTCAAAGTTCCAAAAAAATTGCTGAGATGTTTTTCAAAGGATACAAGCAAACAAGTGTTTGTATATTTACAATAGAACACACGGTAATTAATTTTTATAGTAAATTCACAGTATTTCATGCTAAGTGCTCAGGCGCATGTAGTCCACTGGAGTGGACAAGTTTATAACTTTATAAAAAAACATATTTTTGGGAAAAAAAGAGTTTTTTTTCATGTCCTGAGAAGAATAAAAGCACTTAAGAAAAAAATCTTGACCAAGGCTTTCATAATTCATGCATCAGAGGGTTAAAGCCAGGCCAGGAAAATCTCCTTCATGTTTTTCTGTGTTTTATCCTCAGTTACTTTGACACAAAGGCATCTGCTGTGATGCTCACACCTCTGATAAAGTCTTATAGGTGTCAGTACTGACAATTGATCAGACTTATAATATTTCTGACTTAGTCAAAATTGACTGAATCGAATCGAATCGTGAGATTATGAAAAAGAATCGAATTGATTCTAGAAATAGGGGTGATACCCAGCCCTATAGTATAGGAGGTGACTCACCCTTTTTTCCCTCCCAAAATGTTAAAATGATAGCTATGAATCTACATCTGTGTCATGGAAATTTCCTTAACGTGTGTTTTTGTTCTGACCTTGAGAATCAAAATACATTATTAAAGCCAGGAAGAATTTATTTTTTTATTGCAGACGCTCAGAGAATAAATATGAATGATAAACTGTGAGCTCTATATAAGAAAAACAAGTACAAAGCAAAACCAAGGTGTTAAACAGTATTTCAAAGTTTAAAAAATACTATGCACAGTATACACATGAAAATATTTCAGGTATCATAAGGATTTGTTGTTTTTTTTTTTATCATGATTTCCGTTGAAGTTCTATGGTTAATTGTGGTTGAATGGCTTTTGCTGAAAGTGCTTGCAACATTTTAATGAAAACTATATTAAGAGAACTTTCACCTTTACAGTACACAGTAAATAAATATAATGTACAGTAAGAAAAGAAGAGTAACCTTATAAATTCTATAGTTTCTTCCAACACCAAAAAAAATCATTAATGCTACCTCACTGAAACTAGCTTCACTTTGTTTTTGGGCATGGTCTTCCTTAAAGATCTCCAGAAGTTGCTTTGGAAAGGTTCCCCTGACCTCCAATCCAGGCTGGGTAGCACTCCCAAGGCCCTTTGCACAAGTGTGGGCAGGGGGGGATCAGGCTGGATAAGAGATGGCGAGGCTTTAGTGGTCCATAAAAGCAGGAGTTTTAGGACAGAGTTTTGCAGCAAAGCCTAAAAATGTGTAAAAAACCCCAAAACAAAACAATAATGATAAATAAACGATAACAATCTAATTGTTAAGAAATTATAAATATTTTCTTGTTTAAAAAAATTGCACCTTTATCGTAAAAGAAGATTCACACAGCTATTGGTTTCAATTTAAGTCACTGAAGTGATTAAATGAAACTTACAGGATTGTATTCGGGTTGTGCTTCTTGCAAAATGAAAGTTTTCCACTGGCAACTTCTACATAGTCATTATTTGCTAAACATAAGTGTGAAGTTTGGAAGGAAAATTGCATGTTTTCATAATGTGTACAGGGAAAAAATAAAGCTTTAGAAGGTACACTTAACTGCCAAAAGTATTCAATTACCATCAAAACATTTGTTAAAATGAAGTCCACAGCCACAGGTGTATAAAACCAAGCATCTAGGCATGGAGACCGCTTCATCTTCCTCCAAGAGACCTAGAAACACTTATTCATTCACTTATTCATGCCTTAATCACCTCTAGACTGGACTACTGCAATTCACTCTATTTGGGTCCTTAACACTCATCTCTCTATCGCTTGCAGTTAGTCCAAAATGATGCTGCACTTCTTTTAACAGGTGTTAGAATACATGAACACATCATTCCAGTTTTAGCAAATTTACACTGGCTTCCTGTAAAGTATCGTATTGATTTTAAGATTCTTTTACTTACTTTTAAAGTTTTAAATAATATGGCGCCCAGTTATTTAAACAAACTCCTCAACATGTATGACCCCAAAAGAGGGCTGAGATCACCTAACCAGATGCTCTTAGCACAACCGAGGCCTTGATTGAAGCATAGAGGAGATCGGGCCTTCGTAGCAGCAGCACCCGGACTCTGGAATAATCTGCCAGTGGAGATTCGTACTTCAGAGTCTATTCAGTCTTTTAAGTCGCGTCTTAAAACTCACTTTTTTACTTTGGCTTTTAATTCGAGTTCAGTTTGAGTACCTGTTTTATGTTTTTAATGTTAATTCATTGTCTTCTCATTTATCAGTATTTGTTTCTAATTTATCTATATTTGTTTCCTATTGCTTTCTCTTGTTCTTAACTGATTGTGAAGCACTTTGATTAACTGTTAGTTAACCAAAGGGTTAGTTGTTTTTAAATGTCCTATACAAATAAATTTTGAATTGAATTGAATGGAATCTGGAGCTCAGTGAACTCCAGTGCGGTACCGTGATATGATGTGTATAAGAATGTCTTTTATTTATGTATTATTCACATTATTTTATTGTATAATGCCTTAGTGCCACTGGATTTTAGCATGTCTCACACTCAAGCAGTTAGACAGATGGTGGGGGTCTGGTAAGGAAGTTGGGGGGAAGCAGACAACTCCACAGGAAGAGTCTTTTGTGTCTTCGAGGACTCTGGGAGGTAGCAAGGGAGTGTGAACCTTAAGGTGTGAAACAGCTGTGTACTGCCTTTTGTTCCTAGAGAAGGTATTTAAGTGTTAACTGAGAGCCATGCGAGGCTCAGAGAGGGACTCTGCTGACCGTCTGCCCCACGGTCATGCATCCTCTCCACCAAGCTTAGTTTTCTGTTCTTTGATTTGATTAAAGAATGTTAGCTACCGCTCACCACTTGTCTGCAGGCTTTATTTAATGGAAAACTTCCGCAATAAGATGATGTCACAAACAGGATGGTCCGTGTGATCGCTGAACAACGGTTCCGTGGACGGGCTGATCACCCCTGAGAGAAAAGGTACCGTTGGGGGTGTCCAAATTCATGGGCTGAATTTGTAGGCCGATTACGTCACAGCGATGCGACAAAGGCTGCCGAAATTCGTAGACTCCTCCGAATGCAGACAAATGCGTCCTCCTTTTCCACGAATTTTAAGGATGGGTCGGGTGTGTCCTTTATGGCCCACCATATCCCAGAATTCATAGCGTGGATCAGCCAAATCCAGTTTTCAACAATAGCGGCCGCTACTAAGTTTTTAATATTACTCTTATTACTCTTTCTGGGTCACAAAATAAACTTTTAACATATTTTCAGGGGAGAACGTAGCTGTGTAAACTTCAAATATCTACAAAGCTGTTGAAGCAAGTAAGGTGGCCAATTTTTGTATGCGATTGCAGAAGAGATTTAAAACTGTGACCTAGAAGTGTGATTGTGAGAGTCGTTTTTGCCACAGGTTATCCCGGGGGGATCAGTAATCAATGAATTTTAAGCTGTCTTACATGTAACAGTCCATCTGGTCTGATTACTACTAGAGATAGACCGATCCGATATTACGTATCGGTATCGGTCCGATACTGACTTAAATTACTGGATCGGATATCGGAGAGAAATTAAAAATGTAATCCGATCCGAAGTATCACAAAATCACCTCACAAAACGCGCTGATTGGCGTAACCCAGCTCTGCGCATCGGAGCAGTATGTGTCACGTGATAGAGCGGCTGTTGTCTGCCAGACCTGTCGGTGGTCTGTTGGAGCATTTGGAGCCTCACTACATGCTTCCTAACCGCGGCATTTCATCTTGGCGAAAACTATCCCAGAGAAGTAAAGCAAGTGTGTAAGTTCATCCCTGAATGTTTGCATAGTATTTCCACGTTAAGCTTAACAACTGATATATGGATCCACAGCTGGACTGGCCATCGGAGTTCCATATTGAGGTGAAAAGGAAGCGATTTGTCCCATACTTCAGCTAGAATGAAAAAATAGACACAAAGCTGGAGTTATTCTGTCTTTGCTGTGCAGTTGCATCTACTTCTCTCATTCACTCCCCCTTCCTCTCCTGTTATTACTTCAAACATGAAACTTATCAATGATCAGCTGATCGGCTTTTCTGCAGCAAGTCCCGTCTTTCAGCTTGATCAGCTGTTGTTAGAATGTATTTAATATTACTTTCTAGTATCAGCTGATGTTTGCTGGAGCCACAGCTGTAAAAGCTGCTGGTCATGATATCCGTTTGGATATGTGGTGAGAGGGAAACATGAAGATGAAACCAGGAGATGTCCTTACTGAATCATCAGAGCTGAACAGGTGATGGAGAAACAGGTTTACCCTTTAGGTGACATGGTTGAGTTGAAGGGAAGTTATGAACTGTTTCTGAGAGACAAATAACACCAGGATCCTTTTTTAGGTAGCTGACGGCTGTTAACTGTGCAGGGGCGGCTCTAGCAAAGTGTTGCCAGGGGGCCAGGTAGGGCATTAACAGGGAAAGGGGGGCACAAAGAAATACTTTTCTTTGTTATGTCATTTAAAAACTTTGAACAAACAATTATCTGAAACTTACAACAAAAGTGGTCATCTGATTAAATGTATAGAAATCCATTATTGTATATAGTAACTAATAAGTCTAATATACCCTAGTAAGCTATAGTACGTTTTCCTTTGGGAAGGTACCATCTGTGCAGTCTGCAATTCTGTTGAAGAAAGATGTTGAATCTCTTTAAATATTGTAGAAAAATAATTGATTTCTGTGCATTTGTTTTACACATGCATTAAATTAAAGTTGATTACATCGATTAAGAGCGGGGGGTGGTTCCCTAATATTTTTGCTGGGAGTTGGCAACCCTATTAGTTAGGTAGGTAAGTACTCTATAAAATACCAGAATAGGGAGGATGGTGTAGGTTTAAATTTATTAGATTGATCAGTGTTGCTGAACTATAAAATGTTTTGGGTGGAGTGTATTTTTTGCATACAGGTATAACAGAATAGCTTCAGTCCCTTGTTTTTTTAAAACTTGAGTATGAACTTCTGCAAAATGCAGCAAGATATTTATTAAAAACTGTTTTATTGATTACAAAATGTGCTGTATCGGATTCATATCGGTATTGGCAGATATCCAAATTTATGATATCGGAATCGGTATTGTAAAAAAAAAGTGATATCGTGCCATCTCTAATTACTACAGAAACTATACAAAACAAGAAAAAGTTCTGCTTTGTGAGTATGTAATCCTACCTGAACTCCTGATTCCAGTTCAAACACAGCATTACTGTTGGTGAAGTAGTCATCTGACAGGACACAGATAAGCATTTGGCTTTTCTTTATTGCAAGAACCACGTCATTTGTGTATGCTGTAGAGAAAAAAGAAATTAGGAACCTTTTTGGGAAACATCTCTCACACAGACACAGATATATGATCTTTTAACCTCCTCCAGGAATCACATCCCTCTCCAGTAGACAGAGGCGATACCCCCACTGGTCCTCTAAGACTTGGGGCAGCAGCACCTCTAGTGGCTTTTTGGTAGCTTTAACTTCCTCGTTAAGTAGGTCGGTGATACACAGGTCTCCTGTCAACAAAAGAAACTGTTACTTTATGTTTTTTAAAAATGTAATAGGGTGAAAAAAGAATCCTTGCTTTGGCTTACCTTCCTCATCATTAAGAGGTGATCTGGAGGAAATGATCTCACCTCCCAACACTTCTTCTGATGCAGGGCTCCACACATACGACAGAAACACATCAAACTCTTTCTCATCTGGTAGAGGTGTCAAGTTGCGAAAGACAGCGTGAGAAAAAAAATACATATGATAACAGTCTTTCTTTGTGGAGACAAAACAATATATTGACTGCCACTACTACAGAAAGTGACTATTTTAAAGCATTGACACAGCGTTTCAGTTAGCCTATGGATTTAAGTAATGCCATGTCCTATAAAGAGGAGAGACAGGTGTGCCAGTCTATGTGCATCTGCATTAACCTCCATTGTGTTTTCCATTTTTAAAGTAGCATCTGTAGATGAGCTGTATCTCCAGCCATTTTACACGTACGATGATTATCAGCCCACCCACCGGCAGGAAGGCTGTAACTAGATACCCAACCAGTGATGGCCATTGCACTGCAAGAAGAAAAAAGCAACAACAAAAGAACAACTTTTAGATTGTATTACGTCTTCAAAGCAGGAGTGACCGACATGGGAAGCTGGATGGGTAGAAGCTGGAAGACAAAACTGAAACAGTTTAACTACACATTAAGCAGACACAGAGCAACCCTCGCGTGCTTTAAGAATTTTGTTTGTGATGAATATGAGTTAAATAGCTTTCTCTTTAGCTTTAGATTGGATTTCATCACATTTTTTGCTTGTTTGGTGATTCGTTTTTTTGGTTTTTTTTGCAAAAATATTGTCTATTGCAGCAGACCACAACAGTGACTAAAGCACAGTGATATAACAGTGTTATTACAAATATAGTCTGACTAAAACGTGAACACATGAAGTAACAATAAGAACATTATTACCTTTAATTTTCCTTTTCAGCTTGATTGTGGCGCTGATGTTTCCAAATGTATTACTGGCGATGCAGGTATACGTGTATGTCAAGTGATGTGGTGTCACCTCATTTATCGTAGCTACCTGTATGACCTCGTACTCTTGCGTGTACTTTTTCAAAGACTTCTGTCTGCATTACAGAAATGATGTTGAGAGCTTTGCATGCTACATGAATGGATTTTATAACATTAGTAGTAAGGGACTGATGCGACTTACTTACTGTCTAGTAGAGTCATGTTACCATCATTATTCATGTACCACTCTATCTTTGGTGAAAAATTTAGTTCAAAAGGAAAAAGTGCCTTACATAAGAATGTGTAAGGCTGGCCTAAATTGAGTGGAGGAGAAAAAAAGCCATTAAAAGCAGGTCACTAGAAGTGACACAAACAACTAATGGGCTGCTTGATTTTGTGTGTTCACTTCCTGTACATGTTTTTCTTTAAAATACGTTTTTCAGAATGATGTAACTAATCACCAATTTCCACTTCCTTTGGCTCATTATCAACAGGAATCCTGGGAGGACTGCGTGATGGCGGTGCTGTGAAGGCGATTGGAAATAAAGTCAGAAATGTGTACCTAATTTACTACAGAAACAGTCATACACATATAGATCTGAGCTCTACTTTGAAACAGCCACTACAACAATTCAAATGACTCCTTGAAATCTGTGTATATCAAGACATACCGACACCTTAAAATTCAGCAAGAAACAAGCAGAAATAAGCCAAGATGCAGGCAGCTCTGTCAGGCTGATTTTTGCATCACAACACTTGCTAGCAAGCTACAGAGGGGCTCAGAGCACAGTATGTTTTAACTGTAACAGCACTAACTTATAGCTAGCTGCATACCCAGTGCTCTTTTATAAGACAAATCTACAGATAAATGAAATGTACTATCACCATATGTATTTGCATGCATTCTAAGTTGTTCTTACACAGGAAAGCAATGATAGCAACAACCACACAAACAGTTAACCACTTAACCACCTACTGTGGGTTAGGCCCTGTGGTATTCAGTTTCTGAGCAGCATATGAACCAAATAACATTTTTTGGTAGAGTGTGTAATGTACAAATTGAGTTTGGGATGTAAATGGTTTTCTTATAGGACAGTGGCATTCAGGTGTCCCTTGTGTAATTTTATATTTCTTGAAATTGGATTGGAATATGGATGAAATGCCATTGCATCAGTGTAAATGAATACACTAATGACATACTGGTGAAAGAACAAATTTGTCTGACCTGGCCTAGAAAAAAAATATTATTGCAATTTATAGAATCTGACTTTTCAAAAGTGTGTTAAAATGGATGCTTAAATTTGGGACATCTGTTTGACGTGCAAATGTGTAAATGAGTACGTACAGACATTAGATCTTGCAAGATATGGCCATGCTGTTTTATCCGGTAGTTTGCGCTGGCCTACTTTAGTATTACTTTTTTATCTTATTAGACTGTAGTATCAGATTTTTAATTGGCCAAACTATGTATTAAAAGCAAGTAAGAGGAC